AGTTCGAGCTTTCTTAGTAATTCGAGTTGGTTTTGCACTACGAGCCGGCGTTGCAGCTATTCCTGGTGTAACTATTGTCTGTGGTAACACGGTTGCCGTTGGGGCTTCAGTTTTAGATGGTACTGCAGTTGCTATTGGTACTGTACCTATAATTGGAGTTGAAATTGCTGTTGGTGTTTCCGTAGACGTCGGTTCATCAATTGTATAGCGTGTTGGTGTAGCAGTTCGAGCTCGTTTTGCAATTCCGGTTGACTGTGGTTCAGCAGGCGCAGGAGTAGCCATTTGAGATGGTGTTAAAGTTTCGAGTTCACGTGGTCCTATACCTTCAGCTGTGGTTGGTCTTTCAGACATTCTTGGTGTTCCAATTGGTGTTGCATCTCTTGTTGCGGTTTTCGCAGGCGTTCCAGTTGCCCTTAGTGGTCCAATTCTCGCTTGCATTGTCGCCGTCATTGGTTCTGTAAGTCCCGGTGGTGTTGCAGGTGGCATTGGTATTGCGGATGTTGGACGTGGTAACGCCGTTGTTGGTGACGCAGTTGATATTGCCGTTGGCCTTTTCTTCTTCTTGTCCCGCTTTCTCCTTGGTGCTTTTTTCGGTTTATATATCTGCCATGGGGCCTTGCGAGGTTTTACAACTGACCTAGCTTTTTCGCTTGGTGTAATGACTCCCCAACGTGCCTCAATTCGCTCTGGGGTAGTGGTTGCGAATGTTGGTGTATCTACTGCTGTCGGCAATGCCGATTCTGGTAAAGCAGTTACAGTCGGTGTCCCGAATATAGTTGACGCCGTGGGTGCCTTCGGCAGTGCAGTTGTCGTTGGTGTTGTTGCAATTGTTGTCGGTATTACTGCTGCCGTGGGTGCTGTGATTCTATCTAGCTTTGCAGTTGCAATTGGCCTTCCGAGCTCTGTTGGTATTGCAGGTGCCGTTAATGATGTTGTCGGACGTGTTCCATATATAAATGGCACAATTTTGTCTGATTCATCAACTCTCGGAATTTTTTTTGATCCTTTCCCAGATTTTAGTTTCGTTTTTTTTTTAGGCTTAACTACCTTTGTAGTTGTTAATGGCATATCGGTGACTGTTGGCATCCGACTTTCCTTTATTGTCGGTATTATAGTTTCCGTTGGTATTGGTAGTCCAGGTACCGTTGTTGTTGGGTCTACAGTTGGCGGTGGTGCGGCAGTTGGTCTCGTCGTTGATATTTTTGTTGGCATATCCGTTGTTATTGGCATACCCGTCATTGCTGGTATTTCAATTGGCGCTGGCATTCCAAATCTCGGGATAGATATAATTTGAGGTGCTTCTAAAAGCTTCTTTTGCTCTGCACTGTCTCTTTTTCTTGATTTTAGCTTTTCTCTTCTTTTCGCCGCCATGAGTAAAGTTTTAGTTTTTTTCTTGCCTTTTCTTTCCTGTACTAATGGTAGGGCTCTATCGCCGAATAATTGCTTGCGCTCTTCCAAGGATAATGCATAGGGTTTTTTTCTCTTTTTATGTCTTCCTTGTTCTGGAATAGACTCTTGTTTCGTTACATATTCTAGATCCCTCCCGTCATCTAACCTAGGCCTGAACCTTTTTCCTTTTTCTCTTTTTCTCTTTACTAGCTCAAATTTTGACGTTATCATTTCATGATCTTCCCCTTCCCTCATTTTATATTTTTTCGCTTTGTGCCCAATAATTGGTCGCCGCCCTTTTTTTATTTCCCCCTTCTCTTCAATAGCTGATTCAAATTTTCTGATTTTCTTAGAGGCAGCACGATCAGCAACACGAGTGTCAACCTTGTCCTCTTCTTCTTCTGGTGTTACAATCTGCTGTTCATCGCCAATAATCGGTTCCTTTTTTTTAGATCGGGGCTTTACAACAATTTTTTTTAGCACAGGAATGGTTGGTTTTTTAATTTTACAAGACCGCAGGATTTCTGCCAATTTCCGTGCTTTTTTTGGTGGTATTTTTAATACGTCATCGGTCTTAAGCATATGGAGGAGGCTATCAATAACGTGATTAGGTAGAACTCCCCTAGGCAACAGATTGAATTTTACATATAGCTTAGCCGAAGGTTCGTCCATTCTGGCCAATTTTCTTAACAATCTGCGACCATTGCCAACAGTATCTAGTCTCTCCAGATCCATGCCTCTTTTATAAAAAGCGGCACGTCGCGGCGTTTTAACTTTAGGTATAACCAATAATAAGTTTTCACTAGATCGCTTTCTTAGTGCATCTTCCAAATTTTGAACCAGTTTACGTCTTATAGAGGGAGCAAGTTTGTCTTTTTGTTTTTCAACAATTTTCTTCATTTCTTGTAAATGATTCGCATCCAATTTTCCGGTAGCTCGTAATTTGTCTAGAAATTTTGCAGCTTGTGATTCGGGCATATCTTGAAGTTTATTCAAAAATTCAGCTACAGCTTTTTCTTTTTCCATTTTTTGCTTTTTTCCTTTGCCATCTGCTCTGATAGATGCAAGTTGTGCTGTTAACTCCGGTGTCATTACTAGTTTATGAATTACCGAAGGAGTCGGTATTAGATCTTCTAATACGCTAAGTAGTTGCCGCTTATTCGTTGGATGTATATCAGGGTCCCTGGTAAGTAAATGTTGCGTCATCGATTCAAGCACTTCTGGTGTTACAAGCTCTCTAATGGGCGGTGTTTGCAGGTATTGTTTAAGTTGAGCTAGGCTTAATGAAGACAATCG